CTCACTGCCTGGGATTGTAATCATTAGGTGACAAGAACTGGCTGATATGAGAGGATGCAGGTATCAGAGAAGATGGGGTACAAGTGCAATGGAAGAAATCAAATCAACTGGCTGATATGAGAGGATGGGGTACAAGTGCAATGGAAGAAATCAAGTTGACAAAAGATGTGTCACCTGCTTAAAGCCATGTTTACCAGGCAGTGATGTCGAGGGCTTTGATGCAATATGGTAGAAAAGGCAATCGGTGAAGCGTTTACTAGGCAGTGATGTGGAGGGCTTTGACGCAATATGGTAGAAAAGGCAATCGGTGAAGGAAGATGTGGCAAACTGCTTTTTTTCCCCAAATCAATGGTGACATCAGTCAGTGGGAGCCTGAGAAGGTTGAAAGGCTCAGCTAACGTGGCAAACTGCTTTTTTTCTCCAAATCAATGGTGACATGAGTCAGTGGGGAGCCTGAGAAGGTTGAAAGGCTCAGCTGCCTGGCTGATTTTCCTTGCATGAGGGTTGCCCAAAGATGCTGTCTGTACAGCAGCAGGAGGAAGGAGACAAGTGGCAGTGCCTTAGTGTAGTCCAGAGGCTGTACTGCATCAGGAAGCATTCCCTCCCAGCTGGCAGGGTTTACTAAACATAGCTATTATCACTCATTTATTTTACAGACCAGTTTTCTCAGTCATTTTTCCCCCCTTAGTGCTCATAAGGAGCTCTTTGAGCACAGTCAGCTGCTGCCTGGCACAGCAATGCTGGACAATTGCAGCACAGAGCAGGAGGAAAATGCGCAAATACACTGAGGCGGTACAGGGAACCACGCCAGACATCATAGTATTGCAGTCAAGATGGCCAAGGTGTTTTAAGGCATCACAGCGAAAGGGAGCTTTAAGACAGACCCTCCTCTTCTCCGCTCCCATTCTCTGTTGTCACTAGGGCCTCTCAGTCCTTGGCATCCTCTTCCCCGTCATGTTTCTGAAAAACGGCACCTGATTGCCATTGTTTCCTAACCACTGTTCTTATAGCAATAATAATAACAACAGTAATAATAGTAATAATGCATCCTGATCTTCAGGTGGATGGCTTTTCTACAGCCAGTCTCACATTTCAGCCAGATACCTTCACCCCAAAGATTTTGCTGACAGCTCAAACTAAGCTTTTTCTTTTTCTTCTTTCCTAATACCTTTCCCTCTTTTTTTGTCATTGAAAACAGCACTTTTCTGAGCCCATGACTTTGCCATTATCCTTCTCATGGGGTGGTGGTGTTGGGGAAACACCACCAGAGAAGGCCCCAGTAGGCCATCAGACAACTGACACTGCATCCTTGTTTTCTGGGGAGTCAGTCTCAGCAGCACAAGTCATTGAAAACACCGAATGTCTTTTCTTGGCAGGTACAAAGAGAACATCAAGCGTCTCTCTGACCTTCACCTCGACAGACCCATCCACCCCCTGGACCTGGCCGTGCACTGGGTGGAGTTTGTAATGAGACACAAAGGGGCCCCACACCTGCGACCTGCTGCTCATGACTTGAACTGGATCCAGTACCACTCCCTGGATGTCATCGCCTTCCTCCTCGCCGTGGTGCTCCTCTCCCTCTTCATTTCTCTGAAGTGCTGCCTGTTCTGCTGCCGCAGGTGCTGCTGTAAGAAGGGAAGAACAAGAAAGCCAACCAAGTCGAAGTCCCACTAGCAGATGAAACCAGTGGTAGGAGATAAGGCCTCTGCTCCAGACCAGAAGGATCAGAGAACATCTCAAATTTCACTAAAATAATTGCTGACTTCCAGCAAGAAATAATAGCATTCCTTTAAACTAGCACTGTGGGAGGGGTTGTTTCACCGATATAATTTTTGCCTTTAATTAAGAATCAGTTGTTAAAAATAATTTGTATAGGAGTGCTTCAGTCATTTGGGAAGATATTAGTGTGAAGTTCAAGGCTCCTGGCTTCCACGTCTTAGTGTACAGAGGACTCACGGTGACATTTTTTTTTCTACCTCTATAAGCAATGGAGATATATAGGGATTTCATAAGACTTTCTTTCAAGGGCTTTAGGAGAACCATTTGCTCTAGTGTAAGACTGTCAGGTTTATCAAACACTCTGAAATCTTTGTATAGCTGTTGTTACAGAAGAGGCAAATCTAATACACTGACGATACGTGTCACATAAGCCAAGCTAGACACACATCTTAAATGGGTTTTGTGTGTGTTTACAAAACCCTGCACTCAATTAAGGTTTAGGCAGGGAAGTGGTTGTAAAGCTGCTGGTGTTTCACCCAAGTTCCCCATCAGGCAGAGTGCTGTATCTGGAGCTTACCTGTTAGGTGATGAGATCTTTGTAAGCGTTGTTTATAAAACCCAACTGATTTACTCTTTGTAAGTGATGTTCAGGTAAAGACCAAAACCCCAACCCTATAAATAAATCCCCAATACTAACAATAATGGCTCTTGTGTTTTCTGACTTGAGAGATATGGGGCTGGACGCTTGTTCGATCGTGGAAAGAGAGCTGGAGAAGGGAAAGATTCAGTGCCCCAAGGTGTGAAAGCCACCTCAACGCACCAAAGCCAGTTCTCAGCATTACTATCTCACTGCTTGGTGACTTGGTCCTTGCAGAGAGGTTACATCCTGAGGCTGCCACAGTCCCCACTACTACGTATAGAAAAGGTCAGAAAAGACCTTAAACGTAAGTTAATATTCAGGGTTCAAAACAGTCTGGGACATCCCGGTACATCATGGCAGCACAGGGATCCTGCTAAGTACCTGGTTCTGTTATTCTCTATTGCTGTTTGAAAAAGCATGTACTTCAGTGAAAGCTGTTAAGTTCAAGAAGACAGTCCCTCTGCTCCTCAGCCTGTCCCCTTTGCAGTGCCCGATTCTCATGGGCATCCATGCTACCTGCAACCTGTCCAGGACCAATGCCGACTGTTGCTTTTCATCCTCTGCCTTTCCCTCCACCACCTCCTGTCCTTGGTAAACAGATGGAAACCTCTTCCTTGGGACACAAAAAGGGAGTCCCCACGGTGCATGAGAGCTGACCTGCTTTTAAAATGCAGCTTTTGCAGTTCCACACGTTCCTGAAGTGACAGCTCTGGCTGTCCCCAGGGTCCCGGCTGGAGCCAGGTGACAGGGGTGCATCTGTGCAACAGTACGCAGTGCCTCTGGAAACGAGACCGAGCGAGACCTCGCAGTGTCCATCACACTACCAGCTGCGGTGGTTTCAGTCATCTCTGAGCATGGGGCTGGCTTCCAGCACCTGTCTGGTGCAAAAAGCACTTTAAAATGTCCTTATGGAGATGTTGTCTGAGTACCCTGCTGCAAACAGGCTCTGGATCGATCCAGTGACTTTCTCTGCATGGACAAGAGAAAACCCCCTTAATTTTAGATCAGATGAACAGAATTTAAAAAAAAAAATCCCAATTGCAGTTGTTCGGGTTTTTTTTTTTTTTCCAACTCAAAAGTTCTTGTGCAGGTAGAGGAAAGGAGCTAAGAGAAAGGGAGGAGGATGCAAAATGCCCATCCCATGGCTTTCATTTCGGAAAGATCTCTAACAAAGCTGAAGCAAAACAGCAGCAGAAACGAGGTATCCTCCTCCTCTCCTTTTCCCTTTGCTCTCCTTAGCCTTGACTAGTTTGTCCTGCTCTGTATTTTCCCTTGGCTTATCGGAAAAATGAGGAGAGAGGAGCCTTAGGGGACATGTGGGGCCAGGAATGGACAACCGTCACGTCATGTCCAGTTTCAGCTGTGCCCAGCAGAGGACACTACGATATCGCTAACAGGAGGGAGCAAGGAAAAGGCCATCCTTCCCCACCAAGCCAGCAGGGTCGGTGGAAGTCGATAGCGACTTGTTTATCCGTCTGTGCTCCAGGAATATGGACCCTGCTGCAGAGAGACCATTTTCAGAGTGAATTAGGGGCCAAACTGCGTGGGACAAGCAGCTTCGGTGCAGAGGAGGGAGCCGGAGGGGCTGCAGTATCACCGCAACACGGCCTTCACAACCCTTCTCAAGGGAAGAGTTACTCTGGGGATGCCGTCCCCTCTTATCACCCCTTAATCAGGTACCATATAGAGCCGTGCTGCCCCTTAAACAGGGCAGAGAGCCCAGGCCCCTGCTTCCCTTACGGGGAGAAGGAGAAATCATCGCCACGATGCATTTCTAAGCAACAGAGAAGAGATCGGGTCACTTCCCAAAAGGGGATACTGAGGCAGGGCCAGACATTGCTCCTCTCCCTGAGCTGTGCAGGCTTCACACTGCCCCAGGGCTCCAGGCACTGCACCCTGAGCTTTTCCAGCAAACCCTCCAAATCTCTGCTTTTAAACACCTGCCAACCAAAATCCCTTCGCTGCCCTTAGAGAAAGGAGAGGTGCAAACACCTCCCACCTCCGGCAGCCTCTCAGCATCACTGAGTGCTCACATAGCACCCCTTCGGAGCTGTGAAAGCAAGAGGAGAGCTGTTGCTTTCTGATCCCACCTGGGGACTTTTTTAGTGTTTATTTTATTTTGGCCTGAATTTTAACATCCAGGATTGCAACAGTAAGGCTGGGAAAAAAAAGCAGTGCAAGCCAGTGCTGCTCCTGGCTCTTCTGGTGACCCTCGGACCCCTCTGGCTGCACAATATGGGTGAGAGCCTCTTTGGCTTTGGAATGGGGGTGTCCTGGGGGATACAACAGCCCTGGCTCCGGTGGGAGGGTGCAGTCGGCATCTCTCGCTGCTTCCCACCAGTCAGGCCGCGGGAAGTGACAGGAATTGCTGACATTTTTCTGCAGCCACAGGGTTTCTGCAGCCTCACCCCAGCCCTCCGGTCCCCAAGGGCAATGGCGAGGTTTTTCCACTGCTACAGGAGCTCCGGGCAGCTCTCAAGCTCCTCCACCTCCCTGGCACGTGGGTCCAGGAAGACCCCTGGCCCACAGGGACAGAGTGCTCCGAGGGGAACCCCTCCCCTTGCAAGACATGCTGAGAAGTTAAATACGCTCATTATCCAAGGGCAGAGTAAGAAACAGCAGCAACCTGCAAACAAGCACTCCCTCCTCCTCCACTGCACAGGGCTCCCAGGGCCAGACACCCGCAGATGGGTCCTGGTGTTGCCTCACCCCGCGCACTCCCACTCGGATGCTCGTGCTCAGACCTGCAATTACTTTACTTGATTTTTTTCAAGATCTGTCTTTTGGGTGGCTTCCTAAAAAGTAAATACTTACTGCTGCTGGCAGCCAGCCATGACCCCAGTTTGGGGGGTTTCACAGGAGCTCTCAAAACGCCTTTCAGCCTTGTTTCCCACTGTGGGAAAGCACTGAAAGATCGAGATGAGCAAATGTGGTGTGCATGCCCGCTTCCCTGAGGAGTGCGGATGAGGGATGCTGACCTGCCAGGAGCAGCACCAGCCTCATTTACAAAAAAAACCAAAAACCAAAAAAACCCAAAACCACATGCATCCACAAACAAGGCTGCTTTGGGGCTGCAGACACGATGACTGCCATGATCCAGAGCCCTGCTCTCCTCCCTGAAAGCCTGGGGAGCAGCGCAGGAGTAACGCTGATACGGGCGGCACCATGCAGCTCCCCATGGTCCCTGTGGGAGGCGGTTGAGGCTCCCCCATGACACGTCCCGGCCCCACATCATTCTCCAGAGCTATCCCAAAGCAGGCTCTGCTCCCTGCACCATCACCAGTGGGTGAGCTCTACCCCGCAGCCTGGGGTTTGGCACTGGAGATGTCCCATCCCATGACATGCCGTGTGATGGGTCCCCAATACCATACCGATGTGGTCCCCAGCACTGCAGGATGGCAGGGAGCCACCACTAGCAAGCCAGGCACTTTTAGCTGGAGCAGCCACGCAGCTCTCCAATTAATTATCACCTGCAGAGGTGTTTTTAGGAGTTATTTATAGGTGAGCATGACGAAACCTGGAGAAAGCAATTGCCAAAGCGAACCAGACACAAAATACAGGACAGCCTCTCCCCTCCCTGGGGAGGAATGTGCCCTGCTGAAACTGCTCCGGCTTTAGCATTTAAGCTCAGTGAGCCAGGTTAAACCCATGTGGCAGCTGGGCTCGGTCCATAGCTTGGTCCATAACCCTGCTGCTGCCAGTGCCGCAGGCTGCCAGGACTGAACCAAGCTTACAAAGGAAAAAGAAGGTAAAATCTCCAGCCACAAATGTTTCCTCGCCAGCTCAGGATGCTGGTATTTCCAGGAGAGGTCTGTCTCCAACCTCATATTTCCCAGAGCAAACTCCTGCCCTGCCTACAGCGGGTGTCACGGCTCAAACTAACCATCATGAAAAAAAGCTGCTGTCACGCAATTCTGCTTTGACAGGTACTAGCAAGTGCTCCCAGCCTCAATTCCCTTTCTATTAAGGATGGGTGAAAGGTTTCATACGCCAGATCTGATTGCTTAGGATGATAAAAGCAAGTCATCAACACAGGCTGTTCAGGCATCAGCAAATCCCAAATCCCCCCCAGCCAGATAGCGGCTGGCTTATCTAACCGCGTGACCTCTCTTCAAAAGCCAGCCTGAACAAATGGAGCAGATTTCTCCCCTGAAATGCTACCAGCCTAGGTTATCTTGGGAGGGGGGACATGGTCCCCCCCTTCGCTGGGGCAGATCCAAGCAAGCTGCATCTGTTACCAAGCATCCCTCTCCAGCTCATCGCTCTCTCCCAGCGAGGGACCGGACCGCATCCCAGTGACTCGCTTTGTGCCGGA